AGGCAGAGAGAGAGAGGAGGAAGCAGGCTCTCTGCTCGGCAGAGAGCCTGATGCGGGGCTCAATCCCAAAACCCTGGGATCATGACCTGAGCAGAAAGCAGAGGCTTAAACACTGAGCCACCCAGGCGCCCCTCCAGTACATTTTTAATCATAACCAAGAGCTTGTACTTTAGTCCTCTGCATGTTATCCAGAGTCACTTTTATCTTATGATCTCATGCCTAACCCTAAACCTGATTTCAAGTTAAATTCTCCTCTGGAACCAGCCTATCAACTGCATTGATCTCACAGGCAGTATATGATCAAGCCCCAGTAAAAACTCTAAAGTCTTGGGTAAACTTCCCTTGTTGGCAATGTTATGAGCATACTGTCACACATCCGTGGTCGGGACTCCCCGACCCCATGGGGAAAAGAGGACCAGAAGCTCTATCTTTATGTTTCAACCCCTCCTGGACTCTGCCCTTGTGTCTCTTCCTTGACTGATTTTAATTTGTATTCTTGTGCTGTAATAAAACAGTAATAGTAATAGTAAGTGGGGACCCTGCGTGGCTCAGTCAGTTAAGCATCTGCCTTCTGCTCATGTCATGATCAGGGGGTCCTGCGATTAAGCCCCGCATTGTGCTCTTTGCTCAGTGGGGAGCCTGCTTCTCCCTCTGCCTGCTGCCTCCCTGCTTGTGCTCTCTTTTTCTCTGACAAATAAATAAAATGTAAAACAAACAAACAAAAAACAGTAATCATAAGTATAGTGTGTTGTTCTAGCAAATTATAGAATTGAGGGAGGTCATAGAACCCTCTGAATGTATAGCCAGCTAGTCTGAAGTGAGGATGCTCCTGGGAACCCATAAAATTGGAGCTGGTATCTGAAGTGAGAGTCATCTGGTGGGGACTATACACTCAGAATATACAGTTAGCTAGACTCACTGTCGTAAGTCATCACTAGGGAGCTGCTGGGACAGGAAAGGCCACCAGGGAAGTGAAAGTCCTTAGAGGTGAGTATCAGACCTGCTTAATTCTCTAGTCTGTGCTGTGGCCCCTCCGCACACCTCAAACCACTGGACAACCACCTCAGATTCGGCATACCTTCCCACAGCCCCGAATCTCAGAGACCAGTCCCGTCCGTGGCTGCAGGGGTTAAGGAGCACTGACCCAACACTCGGGGACTTGACACTAGCGCCCTGTCAGACCTGCTGTCCCAGTCAGGGTCTCATTAGAAAGAAGATGGTTTAAGGATTTTCCGACAAAAGAGTGGTCCTGGGCAACCACAAGGGAAAGAGCAGTAACTGCCAAGAATAGCAGCTCACAGCCACAAGGAGAAAAATATGGAAGAGGATTCTGGAAAAGCGGCTGTCCTGGGGCATAACCAGCAGGAAGTAGCCTCTCCCTCCCTCCCCCTTTATCTGCAGGGCTTTCCAGTAACAGACTCAGCGGCAGAGGGGCCAAGGGAGGCTGTGGATAGCCCTCGCCCAGCAGCCTGTGGGGTGGACAAGAACAGAAAGCAGATCTGCTGGGATAGATGGAAGATCTTCCGCACCTGGGTTCAAATCCTTTCTCTGACCTCCCAGCTGCTCAGTGATCTTTAAAATATCATGTAAAACTCAGTTCCTTCTTCGATAAAACAGAAGGCTTTAGTAACCAAGGGCCAAAAGGAAATAATGTACATGAAGTGGGGGGTGTAGCACCAGGGTCACAGAAAGAGGCCTGCAGCCGGCAGCCGGTAGTACTTACTGGAGGATTGCTGTACTGCCTCTGCCTTCATGCCCAGCTCTCATTCCTGGGCTTCTGACTTGCTTCTGAGACCCAGTTGTCCCCAGAACCCCATTTTGATCATTGGATCCAGGTCCTTTTTATTGTGCCAGAGACCCTGTTATTGGCTTTATCCTGCAGCCTCCGAAGAATGACACCTGGCTGCATGCTTGTAGGTAACCATGGAAACCTGCTGCTTTCATCAGGTGACTACAGGCAAATTGGTAACAGCCTGATGACAACTAAAGGGGAGAGAAGCTGAGAACAAAGACTTGTAGGAGCCAGGTTAAGCCAAAACCCTGTTCTAGACTTGGGGTTGAATAGTTTGATCCATGAGAGAGGACCCCCCTCCTTGAAGCCCTGGTGCCTAGAGGACAAAGTGTCCTCACAGTGCAAAGGCAGGGTCGGAAGTACCCATGGCACTCCACCTGCTGACTTCCAATGAGCTCTGCGTAGGTTGCAAATTCTGCAGGAGACATTTTGATGGAAAAGCTCTTGGCTTCCATAAGCTTCCTCTGAGGACTCGGTTCAGGAAACAGGATTAGAGTGGCCAGAAGTAGAATGGAACAGATCTACAATTATAGAGAAAGGGAGGGTGTTGGTTTTTGAGGGCTGTGTTATAAAGTACTGCAAAGTGGGTGGCCTCGACAACAGATGCTTATTGTCTCGCAGTTCCCGAAGCTAGAGGTCTGAGACCCAGGTGTCAGCAGCATCGATGCTTTCTGAGGACTGTAAGGAAGATTCCATTTTGTGCCTCTCCTAGTTTCTGGGGTTTGCTGGCCTTCTGGCATTTCTTGGCTTGTAGAAGCATCACCCTGATCTCTGCCTTCACTCTCCCATGGCATTCTTTTTTTTTTTTTTTAAGATTTTATTTATTTATTTGACAGAGAGATCACAAGTAGGCAGAGAGCCAGGCAGAGGGGGCAAAGAAGGCTCCCCACCGAGCAGAGAGCCCGATGCTTGATCCCAGGACCCTGAGATCATGACCTGAGCCGAAGGCAGAGGCTTAACCCACTGAGCCACCCAGGCGCCCCTCTCCCATGACATTCTCTGTGTGTGTGTCTTTGTCAAATTATCCCTTTTCGTAAGGTTGTAAGGACACCAGTCGTATTGGATTAGCTCTCCCCGCCCCTGCCCCTGCCCAATAATGGCCTTACCTTAACTAATGACATCTGTAAGGACCCTATTTACAAACAAGATCACATTCCAAGGTACTGGAGCTTGGGACTCCAACATATGAATTTTGAAGGGACAAAATTCAACCCATAACAGGGGGTACAAGTGGGGAAAGTCTATCCCATGACACCTGTCTTGGTTCTTAAATATTGACCCTTCTGGAATTTCTCACCGATCAGGAAGCCTCTGATATTCTGGGCTGTGCCTTTTGCCCTACAACACCTAGTCTTACCAATCTTGATGCTCCCCTTCAGTGATCTAGCTCCCTGGCACCCCTGAGTGTACATCTCCATGTCTCTAACCTGTCAGTATTTTTTCTGTCTACCTGCAAAAGTTGAGTGTTTTCTTAGGACCAGCCTCACTGCTGGGGGTGTGTTTAATCCAGGTGCCTATTTCTTTAGTGGCATCCCCAATGTCTATAGGTGGTGGGACCAAACCTAGCTGCCTTCTAAGGGAAGCCAGTAATGTTTGAAGTTCACTCGAAGATAAGGACACTTAGATCCAGACAGGCAAAGTTCAGAACCAGAAGGATGCCTAGGGAAGCAGAGTTCACGTGTACCTTGGAAGATCAAAGGGTGTTTACTATGGCCTGCTTGAATGGATGTCTCAGGCCCAAAGTCTGGACTGCGGCTCTGTGAAGGTCTGCAGAGGGGTCCTGCCCCCAGAGGAAAGCAGGAATAGTCTGGCAGTAGTTAGGAACATGAATTTTGTTCACTAGGTGTCAACTTCTGCATCCATAAAATCAGACCCATAAACAAAAGTTATCTTATGGAATTTGTGTGCTGATTAAATGAATAATGAATATATGGCCTTAATTCAGTGTCTGGTAAAAAGCAAGCAAGCACTCAATACATGTGATGGTCATTTACGGACATTTTACTGTTTCTACAGAGTTCCATGACGTAGACAACTAAGTAGTTTCTGGGTGCGACTGATCAGAACTGCTGCTCCTTTCTTCTTGAAATCACATACCCACATAAAATTCCGCAGACTCTTGGGAAAATGTTGACTATTCTTCGAGGTATTGCCACACGGCAGTATAGCTAGGTTGGGACCAATGATTGGGGACAGAAGCTATCAATTTGTATCAACTCAAATATTCTTTTTTTTTAAGATTTTATTTATTTATTTGACGTACAAAGATCACAAGTAGGCAGAGAGGCAGGCAGAGAGAGAGGGGGAAGCAGGCTCCCTGCCGAGCAGAGAGCCCGATGTGGGGCTCGATCCCAAGACCCCGTAATCATGACCTGAGCCAAAGGCAGAGGCTTTAACCCACTGAGCCACCTAGGCGCCCCTCAACTCAAATATTTTAAGTAGCTTTCCTGGCAAGGGCAGGGAAAGAGTAACAGGTATCTTTTTCTTCCTCTCCAGAGAAAGGAGAAATTCTGTGGGTTCCTGAGATTCCACCACGGAGTGATAACAATTATCCTACACACTTCCTAACTTAGCTCAAAAATACCCACACTCTTTCTAACAGGGTCAGGTGCACCCCATCGTTTTGAGAAGATAATTTCCTCCGATGAGAAGTGAACCACATAAGTAGTCATTATGTGCGTGCCCTCCTGTCCCGCCACAGTGTGATTTAATGTATTTTAGGAACTAAAGTTCAAAATGTGAGTTTCCTGCATAGAGAAAAATAATGTCAGAAAGCACTTAGGAAAAGGCACCGCAGACAGATTAAATATGTTCAAAGATCTGTCCTTGGCCTTCTTTTCTGTTTTCCTTGACAATGTCATTCAAATTCCAGCTTGTGATGGAGGTCAGGTAACTGCCTGCAGCTGCTGCGCACACAGTTTCTGGAAGGCTGTGTTCTCCATCTCTAGTGCTCACTGGAAGGTCCACTTACAGCATCCCTGTCAAAGCAATGGATCGCCGAGGGAAGTGATTATGGCTACTCCTCCAGCCAACCCCACGTCCTTTCTTGCTTTCCCTGGGACCCCTTTTCCCTTCAATGCTACTACTATGCTGCAGCTCATCTAGGCTGGAAACTGCTAAGTCAGTGATTCTTAGTCTTGTTTGAAGTCTCAGCCTTTAAGAATGGATAGAAGTTACTGGCTCTCCCCCAAAAAAGAAAAATATGGCTATGCTCACTTCAGTGGCACATACACTAAAATTGGAACGACACAGAGATGAAGAGCATGGCCCCTGTGCAAGGATGACATGCAAATTTGTGAAGTCTTCCATAATTTCAGTTCTGTGGAATGGATAATGGATAAAAGGAGTGTGCTGGGCTGAGAACATTTCCAACAAGCACATCAAAGAACAATACATATAGCATGATTCTGCTTACGAAAGGAAACAAACAGGGGACAAATAAAACAAGACAAAATCAGAGAGGGAGACAAACCATAAGAGACTCTTAATCATAAGAAACAAACGGAGGGTTGCTGGAGGGGAAGGGCATGGGGGTGGGGTAATTGGATGACAGGCATGAAGGAAGGCACGTGATGTAATGAGCCCTGGGTTATTATGTAAGACTGATGAATCACTGAACCATACCTCTAAAACTAATAATAAACACTATGTTAATTAATTGAATTTAAATTAAAAAAAGACCCCCCCCAAAAGACATATATGGCTAGTCACACAAATAGTGTGACTATTACTCAAAATTTCAGGGGGTCTTCAGGCCCCCCATCAAAGCAATTCTGATTCTTCTCTTTTACTTTGTAACAATACCTGCTCAAAAACTTCCCCACTGTCAGTAAAATATGCCTACATTCCTTAGCTTGGCACATAGAGCATCCCATAGAGCTCTATGCTCTATGCTCTAAAACATCTTTAGAAAGAAAGATGTTTTTCTCAAATAAATGGGTTAATATATGCACAGAACAGTGCTTGGCCCACGGTGAGTACTCAGGAAGTGTTAGCTATTATTATTATTATTTTATGATTATTATTATACTTTCAGCCCAACCAATTTCTCTTGTGTCCAGTTTTGCTCCCTCTGTGTTTTTATTCTTCCTGCCAGTCAAGGATTCCCCATGTACCCTAAGCCCTCCAGCCCTCACAGATCACAGTTCCCTGAACCTGAGCCCCCCCTCCTATAGGAAATTTAACTCCTTCCTTAATATTTCTGAATCTACGCAGAGCTTTTTAGCTCCTCCCATTTGGGGCTTTTCACCTCCTGCCCTGAACCCCTGTCCTGGCTTTTGAAGAATGATATGGCCATATTCCACACTTAGTCACTATAAGCATGGACACAGCCCCTCTTCTCCATGACCCCACTTCCCATATAATCCAGCAGATACAGCAATTTTTTTTTAAGATTTTAATATATTTACTTGAGAGAGAGAGAGACACAGAGAGAGAGATCGATCATGAGCAGGTGAAGGGTAACAGGAGAAACAGACGCCCTGCTGAGCAGGGAGCCTGTTGTGGGGCTCGATCCCCAGCCCAGATGCTTAACTGACTGAGCCACCCATGCACCCCTCACAGCAATCTTTTTAAAATGTAGGAAAGCTCATGTAACTTGTCCAATTGAAACCATTTAATAGTTTCCCATCATACCTAGAAGAAAATTGAAATTCTTCCCTTAGCTAACAAAGCTATAGCTGGCTTTTATACATAGGGGCAGACTTAAATTTTGTAGGGTCTAAAACTTAGATAATTTACTTGTTCATGGTGTAGACTTTTTTTTTTTTTTTTTGGTGTAGACTTTTTAAGAAAAAGAAAATTTTAAATCACAATTAAAAATTAAATTGAGGGGCGCCTGGGTGGCTCAGTGGGTTAAGCCGCTGCCTTCGGCTCAGGTCATGATCTCAGGGTCCTGGGATCAAGTCCCGCATCGGGCTCTCTGCTCAGCAGGGAGCCTGCTTCCCTCTCTCTCTCTCTCTCTCTGCCTGCCTCTCTGTCTACTTGTGATCTCTCTCTGTCAAATCAATAAATAAAATCTTTAAAAAAAAAAAAGATTTTAAAAATAAAAAAAAAAAAAATTAAATTGAAAGCACCTGATCAGGGTGCCTGGGTGGCTCAGTTGGTTAAGCATCTGCCTTCAGCTCAGCTCATGATCACAGGGCTCTGGGATCAAGCCCCACATCAGGCTCTCTGCTCATTTGGGAGCCTGCCACTCCCCCTGCTGTCCCTCTCTCTCTCAAATAAATAAATAAAATCTTAAAAATAAAAACATCTGATCAGTATGTGTACTCACTCACATTCCTGAAAAATAATATGCATTTTATCATGATCCTAATAAAAAAACTTTTTTAAGCTACACATTTTTATTAAAAATTAATTGATGAAGAAATATATAGTTTAATTGTTCTTATAATAAATAAATAACTTGTGCTAGATCTATGTCATTTTAATCTGAAATTCAACGTCTGTGTTAATCCATTTCATGTAATGAATTCAAAAAGTTCTTTTTCTATTTCTAAAAAAAGAAATGAAAATAAATATTTATTTTGAATCTGAGAAGCAACCACAAAATTTCATGTTTACAAAAGTTTAAGTATTATAAATATCAAGTTCAGAAAAATAGTAGAGTATCCTATTTCTATGAATTAACTGCTTAACACAACTATAATACTTTTTCCTACTTTTTTTGTCTACAAATACTTTGTCTTCTTATGTGACAATAATTTTTAATATCATTTTAAGTTTAATTTTCTAAGGAGAGGATATAAAGATCAGTCATCTTTCCTCCAGCATCGTTGTTAAAAATTCATCTTTTATGATCTTTTTTATGAAGAAGAACTTCTTGAGTAAAATTTTAGGACTGTTGTCAAATTTGGTCAGACTTCTATCAAGTTTCTATCACAGATGAGCTGTAATATTACAGGGCATTTTGTGTTTTCTTATAAAAAGTTAATCTTCCACCAGCTAGAAGTGAAACAGCAGCTGCAGGGACAGGTATTTTATGTGTGGCTATATGCCAGAACAGTCCTATTTAGCCATTAGGATGTGAAACAACACAGTTTTATAGGATGTTTTAGGCTTTGTTTTCATTGGGGCTTTCTTACTAAGTGCCAGGCACCATGTCAAAAGTTAGGCGTGCACTATCTCATTCAATCTTTACGATTGTGGGGTGCCTGGGTGGCTCAGTGGGTTAAGCCTCTGCCTTCGGCTCAGGTCATGATCTTAGGGTCCTGGGATCAAGCCCCGCATTGGTCTCTCTGCTCAGCAGGGAGCCTGCTTCTCCCTCTCTCTCTGCCTGCCTCTCTGCCTGCTTGTGATCTCTCTCTCTGTCAAATAAATAAATAAAATCTTTAAAAAAATTTTTTTAATTAAAAAAAATCTTTACGATTGCCCTTTGACACCAGGCTCGTATGAACTGATTAGAAAACTGAAGTTTAGAGAGATTAAGGAATTGCCCCTGGAATTCACCATAATAAAGAACATCTAGCAAGCGGAAGGGAGGTTGATCAGGAATTCCACTCAAGCTGCTCTCTGCGGATTCCCCATGACGTTGTATCCCACCAGAATCACTCTCCAAAGAGCTCAGTGACAAGCTTAAAAAGATCCAGCTACAATCTTCCCATCAGTCGCAGTGCCTAGCCTGTGTTTTGTACATAGAAACTAAATGGAATTAAAAGGTGCTGACAGATCTCTTTGACAACAGATGACAATGTAACAGACCAAAAAAAGGCAGAGTCGACTTTTTAGTCACACCATGGAAAAGAACTGATGTCCCATCCTCATTCATCAGAGTCTTCTAGTTCCTGTAATAAAGCAGAACTCACAAATTCGGATCCCAAGGTGATGTGTTTTTCTCGAACTGAAAGTACAAATGAGTCCAATGTCATTGCCGTCTGAGACGAGTGGTTAGGTGGGTACATTTACCTGCGGGAACAGCCTCCTTCTGGGCAGTTCCCTTGCCGCCGCCTGCTGCCCGCCTGGGCTTCCCACCGTGTCCCCAGCTGCTGACACGCTTCCTGGCATGTAGGAGACTCAGGATAAATTGAAGGTCAATGCACTGTCCTGAGCAAAGTCTCAGGGTACTGGGATTGGGAAAGAGAACACCCACGGAGCATCAGTACTATGCTAAATGCTTGGGGTACAAAGGTGGATTCAGTAGAGCTACAAAATTAGCAGGGCCCAGGGAGAAATGGAAATGAGGGGCGCCTGCACCTCATTCAGAAATTAAGCATTTCAAGACAGTGACAGCAGAGCCTTAAGCCAAACGTGGGGGCTCTTCTGAGTATGGGGTCTTGTGTGACTGTGTAGGTCCCATGCCCAGGAAAGTGGCCCTCCGTGAATTAGAAAGTTCTGTTATCAAAGGGTTCTCAGCTCAGTGGGCAAGAGAGAAAGCATATACGATGATGATTTGGGGTGATAAACAGTAAGTGTTGGGGAGGGAGTGGGATCATTATGAGAGCAAAGACTCATTTAGACCTCACACGGGGTTTATAATCTCCTTTGTTTAACCTAAAATACTTTTACTGTATTACCTATTTAATGGCTTTATTGAGGTATAATTCATATACCATGCAAGTTGATTCATCCATTTAAAGTGTACCATTCAAATGGGGCCCCGGGTGCCTCAGCCAGTTAAACATCTGCTTTGAGCTCAGTTCATGATCCCAGAGTCCTGGGATCAAGTCTGACATTGGGCTCCCTGCTCAACAGGGAGACTGCTTCTCTCTTTCCCTCTGTCCCTCACCTGACTCATGTTCTCTCTCTCCCTACCCCTGCCCTGCTCCTGATCTCTCTCTCAAATAAATAAATAAAATCTTGAAGTGTACCATTCCGTAGTTTTTAGTATACTGACAGAGACGTGTAAACATTACCACAATCAATTTTAGAACATTTCCGTCCATCCAAAAAGAAAGCTCATTCCCAGGAGCAATCACTCCCCATTTTCCTCCACTCCTCCCAGCCTGAGGTCACCGCTGATTTTGTGTCTGTCTCTATAGATTTGCCTATTCCTAAGAGTGGAATTGTTGATTATATGGTCATGCTGGGTTACTGAACTTTTTAAATAACAGCTTTATTGAGATATCATTCATATACCCTAAAATTTGCCCTCGTAAAATGTACAGTTCCGTGGTTTTTTAAGTATATGTACAGGGCTGTACAACTGCTACTACCTAATTCTAGAACATTTTCATCACCCCCAAAAGAAATCTCATACCCTTAGCACTCATACCCTACTTCCCCCTCCCTCCAGGCCCTGGTCACCACTAATCTGCTGTCTCTATGGATATGCCTATTCTGGAAATTTCCTATAAATGGAATCATCATATAATACA